GCTGAGGGGAGCAGCGGGCAAGTCAGGAGAGGTCTGCCGCACCATGTGGGTCACCTCCAGGGCGGGGATTGAACTCATGCTGAAGTGGCTTTAGCTTTAGTGCTGTGTTTTAACCTGCTATGCCACCAGGGAAGCCCTACAGCATATTCTTAAGGAGCTAAACCAACAGCAGTTTAAAATGATGGTCTTCTTCCTTTGTTATGCTTATTGTATTGCATTATCTTTTATTAAGGCATGTCTATAATGTAAGGGTGGAGTAGCACACCTCTCCACACATGCCACTAAGGCAGCCACAGTCCATTGCAGCTTGTCCCCTGCTTGCTCCCCACTCCCAGACTTCCTCTCTGTTAGCCTCAATTCTAAAGTGAGATTTCTAGGGTTTCTTTTAGCCTAGCTTTGCCTCTTCCTTTGCTGTGTTTCTCTACATTCCAAATCTGAGTGAAATCAGCCAGTATTTGTATCCTTCCTTCTGACTTAATAGCAAAAAGAAGGAATCTTGGCATTTGTAACATGGATGAAACTAGAAGGGATGATGCTATCCTGATTTTGACAGAGGACCAGAAGGTGGAGAACTACAGAATAGTGCATTCATACAGAATGTCTGTATAGACCCGTGCATTCTAACACACCAGTGCTTGAGGAGATGTTTCTCAAGGTCAGACCTATAAGGTCAGACACGTGATCTTTTTTTTTTTTTTTTTAAATGTGAAGATTGGGCCCTTCCCTGGTGGTACAAGAGGTTAAAGCGCAGCACTGTAAAGCTAGCCATAGCCACTGCACAAGAGTTTAATCCCCAACCAGGAAGCTGACCCACACAGAGTGGCAGACTTCTCCTATCCCGCCCGCTGCTCCCCACTCTGTCTCTGGTGAATCCTCTCACCCCCACATCTGTCCTTTACCCCAGTTCTTGTATGAATAGATAAATAAATATTTAAAATAATAAAAGCTGAAGACTGAAGAGTCACAGAGAGGACTTCATTGAAAAGTGTTTTCAGTGAGCTAGTACTACCCCTCTGGAAAGGGGAGTGTACCCTTCCCCCTCCATTAATCCAAAGGAAGACCCCTCTCAAGGACTCTACCGATATCATCTATTATTTAGCTGACACACAGGACTGGTATTTAAGACATTTGAGGAATTTCAAGCTGAAAGGCTGAACCTATCAATTTAAGCAATAGTTTGGGATGGGGAGTTACAGAAGCTTATAGTTTAGTACTAAAATTAATTTCACATATGCCAGTAATTACATTAAAAATAAATGCAGTAGTGGCCCTCCCTGGTGGCGCAGTGGGTTAAAGCACAGCACTGAGAAGCTAAAGCCACTTCCACATGAGTTCGATTCCCGCCTGCCCCGGAGGTGACCACATGGCACGGCAGACCTCTCCCGACCTGCCCGCTGCTCCCCTCAGCAGTGTACTTCGTCGATCTGCCTGTTCTGCTCCCCACTCTGTCTCTGGTGAAGCCTCTCACCGCCCCTGAGCCTCTGACCTGTACCCCAGTTCTGTATGTACAAATAAATAAATCTTAAAAAAAATAATAAAAAATAAAATAAATGCAGTGGATATTCAGTTAAAATAAACAAAGATTTCAGACTTTATAAATTACCTTTTAGTACATTTACAACATAAAATTAAAGAAAAATTGAAACCAAAAGAATGAAATTATACATCATATAGATATTAAACAAAATGATAAATTTCAAACTATTAGACTTTAAGGCAATAACACTTCTTTGAAGAAAAAATATTCAATTCACCATAAAATGTAATAATATAAAATTCTTCCCACTGCATAACAGGTTCTTAAAACAGATATAGGGAAATATTTTTAAACTACAAAAAAATACAAAAACCTCTGAGGGAGATTATGTCACATCGAGCAACAGAACAAAAAGGTTAAAGAGAGCTTGGCTTTCAACTTGACAATGAGGGTTGATGCTAGAACTAGTGTCTCTGAATAAAAAAGTCTTAAATGATTACTTATATGACCTTAATAGATGAAACAGATACCAAGGCTTGGGTCTATTTATCCAGAATTTTTCAAAAGGCTTGTATACACCACTACATCCCAAAATATATCTAAGACCCTCAACATGCTAAAAATGTTTTTTAAAAAGGCCATTCATCTAGGTTATATATACTAGTGAAAACGTAAGTAATCCAGTTTTGCTAACCAAAGAAATAATCCTTTCCCAGCCTTCTGCCATGCATGACAGATGTAGACACTGTCAGACAAGTCAGAAAAGTGACAATGGGGTAAACAATTCATTGGAGGAAATGCTCAAAGGAACATCAGTACTGAAGGGAATGTATTTAGGGGAAGTTACATAATGTGCAGAAAAACAGGCATTCCTAACTTCTCCTAGGAAAAACATCTGCTGGGAAGGAATGTGGCTATTTCCTTTTTGGTAGATGACTTACTATTACCAATATTCAGTACTCTTTCCTTTAAGAAAAGTATTCCTCCTGACTCCCTCGAAGCCAGTAATAAATACAAGGCTGACTTTGGACAACGGATTATGAGCAGGAATAACATGCCACTTTTTAAGTTTTAAGGCTATGTGCAAACTATAACTAGTTTTCAACATTTAGAGTAGTTGTATTTGGTAAAGCCTCTGAAAAATGAGGCAGCAACTAGTAGTCACCTTTCATTCTGAAGAAATACAGGGTGAGGTTCCTACAAGCTTCCTGTCACAATATTTCATCAGCCAATCGATGTAACCAATAATACTTTTTCATGTGTACTAACATTTAAAGACACCTTATTGAACATATATTTCTTGCAAATAATTAATTAAACACAGTATTTCCTTATAATAAAACACGGGGAGGGGTAGGGCTCACATTTCCCTCCTCCTGGGTAACAAGTAAAATATTTCTTTGGTTTTCAGCCTAGCCACCAGACTAGCCGCTCGCTCTCTCTCTCTCTCTCTCTCTCTCTCTCTCTCTCTCTCTCTCTTTTAAAATCAGTCAACATCTTAGAAAACCACAAATTTAACCATTCTCCATATTTTCCATCTTGTTAGTTGTTACTATATAGTTGAGATCTTCATACTACAGATAAAACTCCAGCACTTTATAGAGCAGCCTTCCATACAGATTGGCAAATGTTCTCTTGCTTTTCCTGGAGGTGCTGTGTTGTTGACTCATTAACATTTAGCTCACAGCCAACAGCACTGAAAGTCATGCCTGAATAAAGCTTATCTAACACATGTTATTTTCTCCATGCAGCATCTCACAGCCTTGTGCTGAGGAACATGAGGCGGCACTTCAGCAACACTCTTGGGGCCAATTTAAACCACATAGTCACCAACAAAAAAAAGTACAAAATGAGAGAAGCATCCCCCAACACACCACAGTGAAAGTCACTTAGTTGCTATATGAGAGTGGAAACAAGAAGACAGAGCCTTACCTTGCTTAACCCCAGCTGGAAACATGGATGTTGCTCAGCTGAAACCTTTCTGCAATTCTTGGCCTGCCTGTGAATGACCACAGAGGCACTGTGAGTAACCTTTGGGAATCACAAGTAACTGTTAATGAATATAAACAAATATAAAATTTTCAAATATAAAATTTACAAATGAGCATGCATCAACTCTTGTAGTATAGTTGAGTCTCGGCCAGAAAACTTCCAGATACTGACTGCTTCATTACTCTGGGCTGTACAGAGACCTCAGCCAACCATGGATGGATATACAGCAAAGGTCAGAATTAACTTCAGTTGTCTGTGCTTCTCACACTTTGGGATTGCTGGATAGTGACAGGAACCTCACTTACTCTGAATGAAATACACCTTGACCTAGAAATTTCACAACAAAATGTGTGTAACCCGTATATCATAAATCTGATCGAAGTATGAAGAAGTGTATAGCATACTTATAAAAGAATACATAATTAACATTAACTCTGATCACCTCAGACCAGCAAGATTAGGAAACTGAGATGCTGCTTTGTTTTCACTAATAATTTTAGTTGTTTAAGACTGTTATATATTTTTTTAACAAAAAGGAATAATACTTTTTTTTTTAAGATTTATTTATTTGTGCATACAGAACTGGGGTACAGGCCAGAGGCTAAGGGGTGGTGAGAGGCTTCACCAGAGACAGAGTGGGGAACAAAACAGGCAGATAGAGGAAGTACACTGCTGAGGGGAGCAGCAGGCGGGCCAGGAGAGGTCTGCCACGCCATGTGGTCACCTCCGGGGCAGGCGGGAATCGAACTCATGCGGAAGTGGCTTTAGCTTCTCAGTGCTGTGCTTCAACCTGCTGCGCCACCAGGGAGGGCCAAGGCATAATACTTTTTTAATTAAGAAAAAGATGCCATGTTGAAGGTTGTATGTATATTTTTTATCATCCTTTAATTTTTTTCTTACAATAGGGAAACATCAGTTATCCTAGACAGAACATTTTTAGAGGATTTAGATTGTAGTCTTTATCCATGAGTTACTTTATCATAAGGAGAATACCTTAGTCTCCCCTAACTATTTTCAACCCATTTTCACTCTAAATTTCTACCTATTTAGAACTTATTGTAGTCTAAATGATTACTTATTTAGAGGCAGTCCTTTTACTGTCTTTTCTAAGATCCAAAAGCATCCAAAAGGAAATAACAGCAGCAAGTTTAGTTAACAGAATATCCCTGTTATCTGGAGGAGTCAGAACTGATAAGCCTGGATCACTAGTGAACCTAGCTCAAGACACCAGCCTCTTGTCAAAAATTTCTTGGATACCCGTGCATATTATTTGTAAATTTTGTCTCAGAAATTATATTATACATATTCATTATTTTAATTGAAAATTTAAGGCAATAGTATTGCTAAAAAGTATTTTGAAAATTAAAAATCTCCAATAATGTCTGTAATACTCAGCAAACTTTTCCATCAAAAAGATTATTATTTTTGCTGTGTTCATAAATTTCTCTAGACTTACTGAATACAATGTGAGTGTACATATCTATTTTCTACATAATATTTTAGTCAAACTTGATTCCAAAAAACATCATTTTATTGAACAATTTCCATATCGTTTACCATGATAACATTTCCCGTATCAGTGAGTCATTGGCACATTATTCAAATAATTTCTCTCTAAATCAGATTTGTGTATATTCAATAAGGAGGACAGATGTATAAAAATAATTTATATATACAGGTAAAAGAAAATTGCTTAGAAGAGAGCCTACACTCAGATAAACATTTATAAATAAATAAGCACTGTGTGGATGTATGTTTTTATGTATATAGAGTGATTACATAAACACAATTGTGTGTAACCTATATATAGGTAATATATATAGTGATAGTAGAAGTTCAATGAAAGGATAAACAAAATGATTTTTATATCATGCAAGAAAAATCTCTAAGAACCATAATTAAGAAACTGTAAGAAAAGAGCACCTATATTTACATACATAAATTGATTTTAAAAGTCAAGTGGGATTAAGTTGTTTGGGATGTCACAAATCATCATTTATGAACAACTACCAAGAATTATGCCCACTGACAAAGGGTTACTATGTCACACAAACCAAACTGGACACTGAGTATAATTCAAAAATAAATATAAAGATCCTTGTGTTTTATTATCAACATAAAATTATCATTATCTATTTTAATTGTTGCTATGTTCATAGAAAATGCTAGTCTGATACCTTATTCTAACCGTAAAGTTTATCTCTTCCTACCTGTTTATTCCCCTTTTATCCTATTAAATTGTGAAGGTTTATTTCTAAGATGGGAGGGGGAGGAGAAAAGCAAATGACTAATAAATAAGAAATCTGTTTTCAATTTTTTTAAATATATACAATACTCAAAAACTAATCTCCATGAGGCATTGGAAGAAGCAGAAAATGTAATCCCTATTAGATTTTTTTAATCTGGTAAATTGCAGTGAGCTGAAGGTATTAGAAAACAAAGCATTTAGTGGCTCAGATAACTGAAACAGGAAATGTTAGTTGCCTAGGAATGTTAGTAAGCTCCCAATTTAATTTTGTTTCTGCACTCTTTTCCAAATAAGATTTTTATCTAAACCTGCATAGCTTTGCATGCTCAGATTAGTTACTAGCCTCAAATAGATTTACATACTTCCTTATCCAGAGCACAGGAGGGCGGAAAGGCAGTCATCCTGAAACCACCACACAGCATCTTGGACACACACAGCGTCTCTCCTTCAGCCACCCAGTTCCCTTGTTAGTCTGGAATGCGAGGATCAGGAGTATGTGATCTCCTGATTTGGTTAACATGGTATGTGGTTAATTTAACCCATATCACATGCTTGTAAGATATTAAGGTCTTTATTAGTAAAGACAAAAGGCATACACAATTTTCAGGGGGACACAGAATATTCTTAAGAGTAGATATTTCTATGAGGCAAATAATTTATTTAAAATGCAGATTTTTTTCCTCCCCAAAAGACTTTTTTCAAAGGAGGCTCACATTGCTTTATCTTCTATATCTATTTTACAGATCATATATACCTTTTATGTCTACATATATTAATGGGTTTATTTATGAAGGGGAAAGGAAAAGGTATAACCCAGGGAAAGAGAGAGATACACGTTAACTAGAACATCCTACCAGCTTCCAGACTTGGAACTCCAATACACTGATAGCTCATCAACAGTCAAACAACCAGCCACCAGCCACTCAGTCCAGAGAGTACCCTGTGGTCCAGAGGGTCACGTGGTCCAGAGAAAGCCACACGGTCCAGAGAGAGAAAGAGCGTGTCTCACATGCCCCCTTATATCTCCCCAAAAGTCCCCAAATGCCTGCTTAGCTCGGCCTTTGGGTCCTCACAGTTCTCTCCATGGGATTGCTGGGAGTTGTAACTTTAATAACTGGAGTAGGGGGTAGAGTCCAGAATGCTGGAGTAGGGGGTGGAGTCCACAAAACTCTGTAGAGTTCCTTTAGGATATCCTTTCCCCCTAACAATTTAACTAACATTTACTTAAAATGTGTTAGTTTTCAGACACTACTCTAGGCACTGAGTACACAATGGTGAACTAAGGAGACATCTCTAGTTTGAGGAGCTCATACCCAAAGATGGGCAATCAACAGCAAGAAAATATGACAAATAAAGTGAAAATACAAGAATTTCAAAAAGTAAAAAATATATATGTATAACTAGTGAGAGGCAGAAAGGGGGATGAGGTCACCACATAGTCATGATGATCAGAAAATATCTCTCTGAGAAGATGACATTAAATCTAAAGACTGAGGAGGAAATGAATCCAGTCGCTGCCATGAAGGTGTTAGGAAAAACAGTCTGTGGCAGACAGAATAGTAAATGCAGAAATAGAGATAAGAAGAATCTTGATTTGTTGGTTAAGACAGATTTGCAACATATCTGGAGCACAGTTATTATGAAGAAGAAGGTAGATGAAGTCGTTAAAAAAAAA